CTGGACACATTGACAATTAATAAGCGTTGAATTTCAAGGACAGAATTATTGACTTCAGATAGTTTTCCTCAGCTGGTAGTTTGAAAACAGAACATTAAAAATTGGTAGGTTAAATGTGTAGTAAAAAATTCGAGGTATACAGACAACCTATCAAAAGAGAAACCGAGAATGTTGCAATTCAAAAGGAGTCCAATAAATCCATGGGCTAACCAAGACAATAAAACTAAGTTTGATTAAATTAAATGATAGTATGTTACTGTAGTTAAAGCATTTGATCACAGAACATACAAAACACATTGCTAAAATGACTTCAATATTACGTCAGAAGTATCTAAATGTAATTTGAGAAAGCTATAAAAAGTGAAATCATTTTTTTTCAAGTTTTTCTTGTGTGTGTGTGTGTTTCTTGTTTTGTTTTTGTTTTGATGCTCTTATGTTAGTTGTTAAATTTGCATTCTTTATTTTATCATTTTTGTTCGTTTGTGTGTGTGTGTGTGGGGGGGGGGGGGGGGGGGGGGGACATGAGTATACAATTAATGCAAATTGTGATTACATCCAAATCAGTATTGAATTCTAAAATATCAGTTACGAATACATATCCTCGATTACTAACTCAGGGGGTCATGATCAATAATGTACAATTATGACAATGACTTTAAAAAATGACACAAGCAAAAGCTATTGTTTTCAAGTTGAGATGGTCAAACAAATCGCTTTATGGAAGTATCGAAATAAAGTTTCTTGAACATATTTTTCCTGTGAATATGAAGGTATCAGGGGAATATTCTCTTAAAAAAACATTTCAAACCAGAAGGCTTGCAGCGTGCTCTTTCTGGTTTGTCATGCTTTCCTTCTTATACAATCATTGCAAAATGTGATTACATTCAAAGCAGTGTTTATTTCTAAGATTTCAGTTTCCGATGCTGTATTACTAACCCAGGGCAAGATGATCAATTTGTTCAAGTGTTTTACAAAATTGACACAAGCAAAAGTTAATGTCTTCAACATAAGCTGGTCAGGCATTATCTCTTTTTGGAAGTATCAAAATGTACCATCATGATGACACTTTTTTTCAGGGAATATTAACAAATGTAGAGCATATTCTTTAGAGACTTTTCAAATTATAAAGGATTGTATTTTGGTATTTCTGGTTTATTATGTTTTCCTTTTGTACAATGTTGCTTATGACCATTAAAGCTGTGTAACACTAGACAGTCTAAAATATCAGTCGTAATTACGATATACCATTCGCTGATAATGTTCATCAATGATCACTAATGTACAATTATGAAAATGAGTTGGGGGGTTTTATTTGACACTAGCAAAAGTTATTGTTTTCAAGTTAAGTTGGTCAAACAAATCGCTTTATGGAAGTATCAAAATATAGTATCTTGAACTCATTTTTTCCTGTGAATGTGAACGTATCAGGAGAATATTCTCTCACAGACATCTCAAACTAGAAAAATTGAAGAATGCTCTTTCAGGTTTATCATGTCTTCCTTCTTTATAATATACAATATTGTTTGTAACCATTACAGCTACAGTAACACTAAACCTTCTCAAATATCGGTCGCAATTATGTTCTACAACCCTCTGATAATGTTGAACACTTTTGTACAATACTGAGACAACTAAGATTTTCTCTATGTTTTTTGTTTTGTTTTGTTTGTTTTATTTGTGTACATTTTTGTGTATGTGTGTGTGGGGGGGGGGGGGGGGGGAGAGTGGCTTATATGATTATTGCAAGTTGTGATTACATTCAAAGCAGTGTTTATTTTTAAGATATCAGTTTCCGATGCTGTATAACTAACTCAGGGCATGGTGATCAATATCGTACAAGTGTTTTTAAAATTTGACACAAGCAAAAGTTAATGTCTTCAACGTAAACTGATCAGACATTATCTCTTTATGGAAGTATCAAAAGTTACCATCGTGATCACACATTGTTTTCCTGTGAATATTTACAAAATATTATGAAGAGCATATTCTTTAGAGATTTTTCAAATTAGAAGGGACTGTATCTTGGTATTTCTGGTTTATTATGTTCTCCTTTTGTACAATGTTGCTTATGACCATTAAAGCTGTGAAACACTAGACAGTCTAAAATATCAGTCGTAATTCACGACATACCACTCGTTGATAATGTTCATCAATTATGTACAATTCTAAGACAACTTTCTAACAAAGAACTGTTCTTATCCTGTCCTTCACCAGGTCAGGTTTAATTCTTTATAAAAACACCAAGAAGTGACTTTTTGCTGTAATAATGCGTTTGTTAGAACAGAATGATTAACATTCGTATTGGGTTTTTTTTCTCGGAAATTTGAATATGTGCAATAAGAGTATCTAATGGCACAGTTTTTGAATAATCACAAAGTGCTCAAAGTCCCCAGTCTATTCCAGCAATAGTCTCACAATTGGTATTTCGCAAATAAATTCAGTTAAAAAAAAAAGAACATGTAAAAAGACACAGAAGAGTGAAATAATAGTTGTTTTTGTT